TGGAACAGAAGTGAGGAAGTGCAGGATTCCCCCAAAGAGGTTGGGCTGGAGAGATATGGTTAGATTGAAGAAATCGTCATCTAGTCGAAGCACAGATTCGCAAAGTAGCCTTAGTCGGCACAGAGATAGTATCATAAGCCTTACATCCTGGAAATGGAATGTTACAGAGATCAGCTACAGATCCCAGCAGATTGCTTCCAAGCAAACAGCAGCATTGGACCTAAATCCCCCAAACCACCAATACACCAACACCAGCATCACCGCCCAATAGTAAGTTTGAAAGTTTGGGAGGGCCAAAGCCCCCATATCTGCAGGGAGTTGTGAGGTGGATTTCATGAGGTGGGGTAGGGCACCCTACAAAGAAAGGGAGTCACACAGGAATCTATCTCTGTAAAGAAAGATACAGGGATCCAGATTGGGCAGTTACGAAAGATATAGTTGAACTTAGGCAGGATCATCATCTTCAATAAATTAAAACGCCCTATCAAATTCAAAGGAAGAGCTGACCAAGTCTGAAGCAGGAGAGACAGGAGGGGGAGAAGGTTACGGCCAAAGAAATAGGTCGCATCCCTGGTTACCTGGACTCCTATGTAGTGGAATTCCTCCACCCAGGAGAGCTGGGTGGTACTAGCCCTGGCACGGACATGATCGTCTAGGGCAAAAAGCAATGACTTATACCAATTAATATGTATGCCTGAAAACAAGCGATAAATATCGAATAGCTCCAGAGCCATAGGGAGCGACGGGCCCGCATTATGCAAATATAGAAGGGCATCATCTACATGTAGAGACAGCTTCTCTTCCAGAGAGCCTACCCTCCAGCGCCCTGAATAGAGTGGGATTCCCTGACCAAAATAGCCAGAGGCTCCAAGGCAAGGGCAAATAGGCCAGGGGACCAATCATTAGTGCGGACCCTCGCCTTGGGGGCCCTGTAGAGAAGCTGTACCCAAACCTTGATATTTATAATGTATATCCATGGAAGACAGAAAATTGGATGATGAGACAGCAATATTATATACCAATTACTTATATGCCTTCTGTAGGCAACATCCCTCTATCAATAACCACCTTGAACACCTTACACTCCAAAATCAATATAGGGTAGAGGAGAAATTGAATTTTGCTGAGCCATACACAATTTTATTGACATCACAGCTTTATTATACAAAGGAAGATAAAAGGACAAGGCCCATTTTGTCAATATAAAATACAGCCATCTACAGAAAATCATATGACACAATAATTTTCAGTTTATGAGATTATCCATAGGAGGTGTCTAGGACCGACGCATTTCGTAATTAATTTGATTCTTCAAGGTACACACCTACCACAAAGCATGGTACAGCAAAATGGCTGAAAAACATGTAAGGAGAAAAGAAAAAAAAAATATGTCCATTCTGTACAACAAAGTCCCTTTTCTCCTCCACCCTATCATGATTTTGCGGTGTAAGGTGCTAAAGGTGGTTAAAGTATAGCCATAATCTATCACTATTAAACTTTTGGACATATGCAAGCACCAAAAATACAGCTGTATAATGTACAATATTGATTACAAATTGGCTGTGATGGTGGAATACATCTACATCTTTATCTCAAATAATTGCTCTTCCTTTGTTTACATTCTTCCTGCATGTGAGTGGGTGGATAACGCAAAACAGATCAGCTGTACTCCAGCCTTCCTTTCTAGGTCCTCATTAAACATGGCAAGTGTCTCTTGCACCTCTATTCAGTCTGTTTGCTGAGTGATTATGCACCCTACAGCAGAATTACAAGGAGGCCCCTTGCGCTTAATTCCTCTTACATCTCCTTTCATTTGCTTACTTTACAAAAATGGTAGATCTAACACTGTGGTATCATTTGAAAAACAGCTAATATAAGATAAAATGCCTTGTCCCTGCAGATCTCCCCCATCTTCTCCACTGAGAATAGAAGCTATGTAGTTAAGTTGAGGCTCTCCAGCTCATGAGCAGCAGCTTCTCTGCTACCATGCTGCTTAGTGAATTTGTTTCAGCTCCCCCTGAGACCTGTTAGCTATTTCTATTATCCATCTATTTTATATGACAGCCTGCCTTCACATCACAGCGTTCTGACCTGACCTGCTCAGATGTATGGCTGGAATATCGCCCACTGAACCAGGAGATAGGAATTGATCATTTTCAGTGCTCTACGGTGATGTGAGTGTTCTGATGTGTGGATGGGATAACTTGTTGTAGTTATAACCCCTTCTAAACTGGTTATACCTAGAAATACTTAAGTCAAAAATGAATTTAATGCTTGGAATAGAGGCACTCCAAGCATCTGAATGCAATTTAGATCCCATCTTGGGTACATGCACAAGGTTGAAGTGATATTACATCATTTATGTAGGATTTTGCAATTAGAAAGATCCTGCATTAAAAAAAAAAAAAAAAAAACCCCACATATTAGTCTGTAAAGTGATTGAGTTACACTCATACAGTTGCGCAAATGTCCATTTGGCACATAAAACACATACATAAATTCTACTTCCATTTCATTACATTTATGTGCATGTATGTGCCTTTATATGCATACACGCGGAAATTACTGACCTCAGATGCAGATTTTTCTATCTTGATTTTACAGGTCTGAATGTTTGCAGATGTTAAAGCACTGTATGCATGGGTCTATGGAAAACTCTGCCTCCAGATCCATAAAAAAGAGCAGTACTGATAAAAATGCTGATTTTTGTGGCCGTGTGCATAAAGCCATACATTTGTTTCTGCAGTAAAGCACATGAATTTGACTCACTAAAAATGCATTTCAAATAGAAATCCCATTCATTTCTATGTGCTACAGTTTAGTGTTTTTTTAAAGGGTAACTATAACGGGTTTTTTCACACCTTGGCCTTACTATGGGAACTGCAATGTGCATGTGTGAATGGGCCCTAAAGTTTTTATTTAATGTGGACCTTCACCCTTCTAATGTTCCTCTCTCCTGCCTCCTCCCCGCTCCATATCACGAAGCAAAAAAAAAATATTTTTTTAAATATGTATTTTTTCCCCTAAAATCCAAGCCTTTAATTCTTGCCTAGGTAAGGATGATGTAATGAACCCTGTGCAGGAGCAGGAACACCCTGGGATCCCATTGGCATTTCTGAACATGCATGTGGTCCCACGAAATACCTCCTGGGACTTCTACATCATGCATTCCTAGAGGCAGCTTGCAAAAATCTTGTCCATATGCAGAAGTGCTGTGGGGTCTCTGTCAGTTTACTGGTAGGGCCACCAGCATGTCTGTGCATGTTCAGGGGGGTCTGGCACATGCGCAGATACGCTATGGGATCTGTCAGGTCCTGCAGACCTGGTGAAGATCCCTGAAGTGAGTCTGCACATGCACCAGGTCTCAATAAATGATGGAGTTGCCAGAGAGGAGCAGTGAAAGGAGGATCTTTCCTACAAGCAAGCCAACGCTGGACTCCATGGACTAATAAATATTTTTTTCCACTTTGATATAGGGATAAGTTTCAGGATTTAGGAACTGTATTTTTAATAGTAAGGGTGGAGTTCCTCTTTGACGACATAAAAGAAAGAGGAGTTACCTGGTCAAACTGGCAGTAATTTTTATTTTTTATTTATTTATTTCAGGTACTTATATAGCGCTGTCAATTTACGCAGCGCTTTACACATATATATTGTACATTCACATCAGTCCCTAACCCTCAAGGGGCATACAATCTAAAGTCCCTAACTCACATTCATACATACACATACTAGGGCCAATTTAGACAGGATCCAATTAACCTACCAGCATGTCTTTGGAGTGTGGGAGGAAACCGGAGTACCCGGAGGAAACCCACGCAAGCACAGGGAGAACATGCAAACTCCATGCAGGAGGTGCCATGGTCGGAATTGAACCCATGACCCATTTTACTGCAAGGCAGACGTGCTAACCACTAAGCCAGTGTAATGAACCAGAGAGAGCCTCATTTGTTTCACAGTTCAGAACCACCAAAAGCTCTGACTGAATGTGGTGGGAAAGGGCAAATTACTGATCTGTCATCAGGTCTAATTTTCTCAAAAACACGAGGTGGAGGTTTATTGATTAGCTTACCAAGAAAATCGGGCAATTAAATGGCAGTAGCCTCTTGCTTAGCAAAAGATACAGTATGTGAATATCCAAGACAGACCTGAGACAATTACAGTATGCAAAGTTCTCAGTTTTTCTCTTAAAGCATAACTAAACCCAAGAACAAAATGTAACATATTAGAGAATACCAGAATGAGATGACTGCGCTGGTTTTCTTTTTTTAGGCGAAGAACGTTTTCAGCGAGTACAAAAAATACTTGTCAGTGTCCTTGCCATTTCCTGTGAGCTGACCTGGAAGCACCAAACAATGTTCTCTTATTCGAGAAAACTACTAATGTCATCATTACACATGTAATAGAAAAAAAAAGGCAGACATATCGAAAGTCCAGCCTGGGTGCCAAACAAAGCTCTCTCCATAGATACAGCTGGAGGGCAGGAGGGTGATCATAGCCACCTTACAACAGGATGTTTATTATTTTTAGGATCACCAGGTGAAAATAAAATTAAAAAATCCTGAAAAAGATAAAATGAACACAGTCATCACATCTAAGGACCGGTTAGCTGGTATTATTTTTTTTGTTTTTGGGATTGCTTTGGGGCGTGTCTCAATTTTATTTTGAAAGTAAGATTAAAGTGCATGTAAACCTAAAAAAAAAAAAACTCATACAAAAAGTAACTTCACCTCCACTTGTTCCAGCGGAGTCATTCTTTTTTTCAAGAAAATTTTTTTTTTGGTGTTGACCCAGCAAGACTTCCTGTCTCAGCCTGACAACAATCCTTTAGTTGGAACTGCACTGTCACCCTAATGTGCATTGCCTATGGACTCCAATCTCATATGCCAAATGCATAGTGCATTAACATGTACAACTTTAAGACTAGAGGGAATACAAGGATTCATGGGATGTTGACTTGAGTGGAGAGAGACATGCACCCACGTATATGGTACGGGTACACAAAGTGGAAGCAGCTCTGCACATTCTGCACATCCACCATTGACCTGGGAATGTTAATGAGAGGGTTGAATTATTATTTTAAATATAATTGTGCAGACTTACTTTTTATTTTGTTTTGATCCTTTATTTATTTAGTTTGCTCATACCATGACCATTGAACTGTGCTTTTTGCCTGGCCTCACACATTGATGAGATGGATTTACTAATGGAATTGAAAAGCTTTGCATAGTAAATTAATAATAATATTAATAAACTTTATTTAATATGACGCCTTTAAAGGTAGCCCTTAAAAGCGCTTTTCAAAGAAAACACAAGAAATACATGGGATAAAATAAAGGAAAAAAGGGACAATTACATGAAAGCTTGTCTAAAGAAAGAAGCTTTTAGATTTGATTTGAATGAGTTTAGAGATGACGTTCTGATGTTCTTTGGAAGTGAATTCCAGAGTTTTGGGCAATAGCAGGGGAAGGCTGTCTCCCATTGAGTGTAGGGGAGTAGGGGGGCACGTAGAAGAAGAGAATTTGAGGAAGAGGAGGGGAGTAAGTGGATAAAAGTTGAGAGAGATAATGGGATGCCAAGTCATGAAGAGCTTATAGGTAAGCAAGAGGATCCTAAAGTCTATGTAAAACCTGATGGGTAGCCGCCGGAAGGACTCCAGGATAGGCTTTATATGGTCGCTTGTACCATACCTAGTCAGTATTATGGCTGCAGAATTTTGTACATATTAAAGTTATTTATAGATTTAGGTACACCAAGAAGTAGAGCATTGCAGTAGTCACGTTAGGAGAATACAAATGTATGGATCAGCTTTTCAGCTACAGTGTATGATAGCATAGGACAAAGATGAGGAATATTTCTCAAGTGGAAAAAAAAATGTTCTGGCAACATTTTATTATTGTAGATCAAAGGTTAAACTAGCATCAAATATCACCCCTAGATTTTTAAATTTAGACTGGAGCCATTGATGGATAGGCTACCAGGACTGGCCTTACATAATTGATGGGGGTGCCAATAAGTGTCACTTCAGTCTTGTCGCAGTTTAATTGAAGGAAACTGTGGGCCATCAAAGTTTTCATATCACAAATACACAAGTTAGATATGAGAGAAGCAGCCAAAGTAGAATTGGTTTTAGTGCGGATGTAAATCTGAGTTTCATCAGCATAGAAGTGATAATTGAGCCTATGTGATCTAAGTAGTTGGCCAGGTGGAAACATGTAAATGCTAAATAGAAAGGTACCCAAGATTAAGCCCTAAGAAACACCTAACTTGACTGGACCAAAATCAGACTGGAATCCACCAAATTGTGTGAATATTCACTTGGATTATCCAATCACATGAAAACGCAAATTATTGTTTATATATTTCATTTGCATGTAACTGGGTATTCAAAGTAAACAGGGATTTTAGTATTCACATGACTGGAAGTGAATATTCACACAATTTATTGTCATGGTCTACCTTCTAAGTGTGCTATGTAGCAGGCTAGGTAGTTGATAGACATTTATAAATGAGGCTGACAGTTGCTCTGTCTTTACTGAAACAACGTATCCTCTAATTCACAACTGATTTAATAATTTGCACATACGCTGTCAAGGCTTGTAAAAGTCGGCTGAAGTGATGAAAATAAAAGGTGGAAGGGAAGTGAGTTGCTCAATAATTTACTCATGAAATGGTAGTCATGGTAAAACCCTTAGGCTCTTAGGTGGTGGGAAAACAGATCAAATGTGGTTTGTGGGCTATTATTGGTTTGTAATGTGAAAGCCACTGTGCAAAACCATACATACTATATTTATATCAGTATACATCTTTTATGGAGGAAGGTTATTTGAAACCATTTGCTCTCAAATAAACCTAGTTAGTAATTTCTAGTTTTAAAACCACTGTTCAAACCCACTGAAAAATACTACATACAGTTGTGTTCAAAATAATAGCAGTCAGACATCACTAACCTGATCAATCATTGATTTTTGATAGAAATATTTCTACATGGCAAATAATTTACTAGCAGGTGTAGTAGAGTAATAGAAATCCAACAGACACAACTGTCATGACATGCATGCTGCTGATTCTGTGTAATTGAATCACTAATTGAAAGGGGCATGTTCAAAATAACAGCAGTGTGGAGTTCTATTAGTGAGATCATTCATTATTTGAAAAACAGGTGGCAATTATTGCCCTTATTTAAGGAAGGAAGGCAGCAAATGTTGTACATGCTGGTTACAGTGCATTTCTCTCTGAAATTCTGAGGAAAATGGGTCATTCCAGACATTGTTCAGAAGAACAGCGTACCTTGATTAAATAGTTGATTGGAGAGGGGAAAAACATATAAAGAAGTGCAGAAAATGATAGGCTGCTCAGCTAAAATGATCGCAAATGCTTTAAAATGGCAACCAAAACCTGAAAGACGTGGAAGAAAGCGAAAAACTACCATTCGAATGGATAGAAGAATAGCCAAAATGGCAAGGACTCAGCCAACAATCAGCTCCAGGAAGATCAAAGAAGGTGTAAAGTTACCTGTGAGTACTGTTACAATTAGAAGACGCCTATGTGAAGCCAAGCTATCTGCAAGAGCCCCCGCAAAGTCCCACTGTTGAAAAAAAAATGTGTGCTGAAGAGGTTTACAATTTGCCATTGACTGGCCTAAAGAGAAATGGCGCAACATTTTGTGGACTGATGAAAGTAAGATTGTTCTTTTTGGGTCTAGTGGCCGGAGACAGTTTGTCAGACGACCCCCAAACACTGAATTCAAGCCACAGTACACTGTGAAGACAGTAAAGCATGGTTGCGCAAACATCATGATATGGGAATGTTTCTCATACTAAGGTGTTGGGCCTATTTATCGCATACCAGGTATCATGGATCAGTTTGAATACATCAGAATACTTGAAGAGGTCATGCTGCCTTATGCTGAAGATGAAATGCCCTTGAAATGGGTGTTCCAACAAGACAATGACCCCAAACACACCAGTAAACGTGCAACATCTTGGTTCCAGACCAACAAGATTGACGTTATGGAGTGGCCAGCCCAATCCCCGGATCTTAATCCAATAGAAAACTTGTGGGGTGACATCAAAAAATGCAGTTTCTGAGGCAAAACCAAGAAATAGAGAAGAACTGTGGAATGTAGTCCAATCATCCTGGGCTGGAATACCTGTTCACAAGTGCCAGAAGTTGGTTGACTCCATGCAACACAGAGATGTACAGCAGTTCTCAGAAACAGTGCTTATACAACTAAATATTAATTAAGTGATTCAAAGGAAAGCAAAATCTTCAAACATTTTTCAGTTTATATAGTGAATGTCTAATATTCACTTTTCTTCAATTTTTTTAGAGGAACAACACAAATTTGATCTATTTTTCTTCATGTTTTGATTTGGAATAGAATGTGTAGTGTTCCCAATGCATTTGTGTGTATGGAAATAAAAGCTATTAGAAGGATTTTGAGCTTTATTCACTTTTTTTCAACGCACTGCTATTATTTTGAACACAACTGTACATGTATATCATTATACATCTTTTTATAGGAAAGCTTCATCAAAACCATTTGCTTTCTAATTAAATCTGGTGTGTGAGCTATTATTGGTTTCTAATTTTAAATCCACTGCGCCAAACCACTTATACATACTATATACGTGTATATCAGAAGCTTCGTTAAAACCACTTGCTATCCAATTAAATCTGGTTTGTTGACTCTAATCGGTTTCCAATGTTAGAGCAACCATGCAAAATCATCTATACATACTACATACAGCACATGTATATCAATATACATCTTTTATAGGGAAGCTTCAACAAAACCACTTGCCTTCTAATTAAATCTGGTTTGTGAGCACTGTGCAAAACTGTATATACATATATATATATATATATATATATATATATACACACACACACTCTGTATTGTCAAAAATATTTGGGACGCCTGCCTTTACACGCACATGAACTTTAATGGCATCCCAGTCCATAGGGTTCAATATTGAGTTGGCCCACCCTTTGCAGCTTTAACAGCTTCAACTCTTCTGGGAAGGCTGGTTTAGGTTTAGGAGTGTTTCTGTGGGAATGTTTCACCATTCTTCCAGGAGCACATTTGTGAGCTCAGGCACTGATGTAGGACGAGAAGGCCTGGCTCGCAATCTCCGTTCTAATTCATCTTAAAGGTGTTCTGTCGGGTTGAGATCAGTCAAGTTCCACCACTCCAAACTCGCTCATCCAGGTCTTTATGGACCTTGTTTTGTGCACCGGTGCGCAGTCATGTTGGAATAAAAAGGGGCCATCCCCAAAACTGTTCCCAGATTAGGGAACATGAACTTGTCCAAAACGTCTTGGTATGCTGACACCTTAAGAGTTCCCTTCCCTGGAACCAAGGGGCCAAGCCCAACCCCTGAAAAACAACCCCCCACCCTAATCCCCCCTCCACCAAACTTTACTTGGCACAATGCAGTCAGACAAGTACTGTTCTCCTGGCAACCGTCAAATCCAGACACGACCATCGGTTTGCCAGACAGAGGAGCAGGATTCGTCAACTCCAGAGAACACGTCTCCAATGCTCTAGAGTCCAGTGGTGGCGTACTTTACACCACTGCATCCGATGCTTTACATTCCACTTGGTGATGTAAGGCTTGGATGCAGCTGCTTGGCCATGGAAACCCATTCCATGAAGCTCTCTACACACTGTTGTTGTACTAATCTGAAGGCCACACAAAGTTTGGAGGTCTTTAGCTATTGACTCTGCAGACAGTTGGCACTTCAGTATGCTCTGACCACGCTCTGTCATTTTATGTAACATACCACTTCGTGGTTGAGTTGCTTTTGTTCCCAGTTGCTTCCACTTTGTCATAATACCACTAACTTGACGATGGAATATTTAGTAGCAAGGAAATTTCACGGATGGACTTATTGCACAGGTGGCAACCTATCACGGTACTGCGCTTTAATTCACTGAGCCTTTCACAAATCTTTGTAGAAGCAGTCTGCATGTCTAGTGTGTGTGTGTAAATATTAATATCTATCTATCTATCTATATATATATATTACACACACACACTCTAACTATATACATGTATATGAATATACATCTTTATGGGGAAGCTTCATCAAAACCACTTGCCTAATTAAATCTGGTCTGTGGGCTATTATTGGATTCTGATTTTAAAGCCACTGTGTAAAACCATATATACAATATTTACATACTATATATACGCATGTATGTCATTACACATCTTTTATGGGGAAGCTGCATTGAAATCACTTGCTCTCTAAGGATCTATTAGCCCACAAGAATCCTGCCTTCTAAGGGGTTCTATGACCCAATTCCAGAGGTTAATGAATGCAAGATTGCACTAGATGTGCCGTTATTAGAACACAGGCATGTCCATAAATACTGCAGTATTTCCAGGGAAGAACTACAGTGCAGCTCTTGGTGGATTACCAGAGAGGAGCTGTCACTGGCTTCTTGATGTTATGTGGGAAGGCAGTGTCGCTCCCACCTCCCTCACAATACAACAAGAGAATTACTGGCCGTGAGAGAGCAGAGCTGACACTGTCATATATCATCCTCTCTACAAGAACTGAACTGCAGATGAATCTTTCCTCCCACTTATGTAGAACTGTGTATGCTGAACAAGAGGATGGCATGCCAGGGCAGTCAGCTCTACGGAGCACAAGATGAGATGAGAAACCATAAAACAAAGCATCACAGGATCACTTTAGACTGCAGCCAAGCAGGTGTCCCTTTAAAGATGGAGCCCGTCTATTCCTGTCATGGCAGAGCATTACTAGAGACCATGGGGGTGCCATTTTCAACTGTCCATTTATACAGTATTATCAAAGGAGAAAAGGATTTAGGAAAGTGATTTTTTTTATCAAGAGCTTTTCTGAAGAGCATTTAAAAAGGTTACAGTAGATACAGCGTCGCCAACATTTCAAAATGACTGTGCAAAAATGAAAAAAAGAGCAGCTTTTCCTGCAATACTTACTCTAAATCTGGAGAAGTCATCTGCAGTACTACTTCTTAACCACTATATATGCATAGTCTTTATTTTTAACCAGAGATCTCTTAGATTGTAAGCTCCAAGGATCAGGGCCCTCCTAACCCTCTTGTATTGAACTGTAGTGTTGCTGTATCGTCTCCTGTTATATTGTAAAGGGCTGAGCAAACTATTGGCGCTGTATAAATCCTGAATAAAAATAATAATAATCAGATTTTGAAATGACCTTGTCTGCATACCTGCTAAAGGAGGAGGGAATATACCTACCTTTCCAGCAAACCATGTTTTAAAGTGATTCTAAAGGATACATTTTTATTTTCTAAAAATAATAAGCATGGCATACGTGCCTGCTCTGTGCAATAGTTTTGCACAGAGCAGCCCAGATCCTCCTTCTCGGGTCCCTCAGCGACGATACAGGCTGCTCCCCCCTGCTGAGCACCCCTCTAGCAAGCCTCTTGCTGGGGGGGTACTCATGCAGGCTCAATCTAGAGCTGGACTGTGTGCATCTATTGACACACATAGTGCACCTCGGGCCCACCCCTTGGCTCCCGCGTCACTTGATGTTATTGACAGCAGCAGGAGCCATAGCAAGTGGCGGGGAGTAGGTATTCCACACACCTGGAAGTGTGGAATACTTGCAGTGGCCGGGAGCAGTGAAGAAGCAAAAGTCAAGACACAGGCTGCCAGAAAGATTAGTATATTTTCCCCTTCTTTTAGCAGGTATGCTTTTGGATACAAGTGGTCTTCTGCTGACAGGGTCACTTTAATGTAAATCTTCCACAAATCTGAAGTTATAGGCACATCTTGACTTTTCCTATGAAAACTGATTTTGGCCACATCCCTTTCTGTCCACAAATTGAGCCACTAAATATGATGTTGCCTCACTGATCAATAAGGATTATGGGTGGCAGGGTCAGGCTGGAGTTTTTAAGAAAACAATCTATATTTGCATCGAACTTCAGCTGCCTATATTTTGTAATCTACAGATGATTTTGATATAGTTTTCACTACAAACAACCTTTACTTATGCATTTTTAGAAACATTTTCTTTTATTAGTTTGTACAAGGTGTCACTGTTGCAGAAAAACCTTTACACGGCTATACATCTGAAGCACTTGTGATGCTCATTGAGGAATCATAAAGGTTTAGGCAAGTTGCACATCAATGACATCAATGCACTTTGGCATTCAAGTCCTTCAGAGGAAATGTGTGTCATGAAATCTAGTTAACAGGAAAGGAACAAAAATAAAGAAAAACATATACTGTAGGTATTGAATAAATTCAACAAATGTAATTAAAGATTAGCAACCTAAAGCTGGGCATACACTGTAAGGTTTTTCTATCGCCTTCCCCCTAGAAGAGGAAAATGTCAACAGCACACCAACAGGATCACCAATATGGGTCCAAAAGTTTTAATAATCGATCGCATCAGCAAGGCAACGTTTTGGAGTCTCGCAGGACCCCTTCATCATGCATGTGACCCATATTGGTGATCCTCATTGTACTGGTGACATTTTCCCTAGCTGATTCTGTTCGGTTCCAGCCAAAGGTTGCTGCAGCACCCAGTTATACACACAGCCATTTTTAACGCAGGAATGTGTGCGTGGATGTATACGTTTGGATTGCATACTGACAGTCTGCAGCTGTCAGAGTACCCAGACATTCGCTGTGTTTGGATGTGCTGTGGTCCACTCCACTACTTTGATTTTCAAATACTATCAGGGCCGCTCATGGCTTGAATTTAGACAGGTTCATCAAGTACCAAACAAAATTTGCTCAGTGTACAGCTAGCTTTAAGGTTGCATGTAGTGTTCATAAACTACGGGTTCCAACATCGGTGAAAGCTATCATACTTTTCATGGTGCTTTGCATTAGAGATCCCCCATGATCCCTGAGTGGTGTGAAGGAGTTCCAACATCTAGTAATGTTAAGTTTAGTGGCCAGCAAGATATGATTAATAGTGGTTCTATGTGTTTTCAATTCCTGTATGTAGTATAAAAGAGTTCAGAGGAGATACTGGGCTGCCTGTAATTGTGGAGGTAAGAGTAAAAATGTATTTCCATAAGCACCTTAAAGATTTACACTACCTTAAAATGGTTAGCACTTCTGCCTTGCAGTACTAGGGTCATTGGTTTGAAGCCTCACCTGCCTGGAGTTTGCATATTCTCCCTGTGCCTGCGTGGGTTTCCTCCAGGTACTCCGGTTTCCTCCAACACTCCAAAGACATGCTAGTAGGATATTTGAATCTTGTCTAAATTGGCCCTAGTATGTGTATGTATGAATGTAAATTAGGGACCTTAGATTGTACACCCCTTGAGGGTTAGGGACTGATGTGAATGTACAATATACAGTACAATATACAGTGGGGATCGAAAGTTTGGGCACCCCAGCTAAAAATTTGTATTAATGTGCATAAAGAAGCCAAGGAAAGATGGAAAAATCTCCAAAAGGCATCAAATTACAGATTAGACATTCTTATAATATGTCAACAAAAGTTAGATTTTATTTCCATCATTTACACTTTCAAAATAACAGAAAACAAAAAAATGGCGTCTGCAAAAGTTTGGGCACCCTGCAGAATTTATAGCATGCACTGCCCCCTTTGCCAAGCTGAGACCTGCCAGTGTCATGGATTGTTCTCAATCATCGTCTGGGAAGACCACGTTATGTCAATCTCAAAGGTTTTAAATGCCCAGACTCATCTGACCTTGCCCCAACAATCAGCACCATGGGTTCTTCTAAGCAGTTGTCTAGAAAACTGAAACTGAAAATAGTTGACGCTCACAAAGCTGGAGAAGGCTATAAGAAGATAGCAAAGCGTTTTCAGATGTCAATATCCTCTGTTCGGAATGTAATTAAGAAATGGCAGTCATCAGGAACAGTGGAAGTTAAAGCAAGATCTGGAAGACCAAGAAAAATATCAGACAGAACAGCTCGCAGGATTGTGAGAAAAACAATTCAAAACCCACGTTTGACTGCACGATCCCTCCAGAAAGATCTGGCAGACACTGGAGTTGTGGTACACTATTCCACTATAAAGAGATACTTGTACAAATATGGTCTTCATGGAAGAGTCATCAGAAGAAAACCTCTTCTACGTCCTCACCACAAAAATCATCGTTTGAACTTTGCAAATGAACATATAGACAAGCCTGATGCATTTTGGAAACAAGTTCTGTGGGCCGATGAGGTTAAAATTGAACTTTTTGGCCGGAATGAGCAAAGGTACATTTGGAGAAGAAGGGGCACAAAATTTAATGAAAAGAACCTCTGTCCAACTGTTAAGCATGGGGTTGGATCAATCATGCTTTGGGGTTGTGTTGCAGCCAGTGGCACAGGGAACATCTCACGAGTAGAAGGAAAAATGGATTCAATAAAATTTCAGCAAATTTTGGATGGTAACTTGATGCCATCTGTGAAAAAGCTGAAGTTAAAGAGAGAATGGCTTCTACAAATGGATAATGATCCTAAACACACCTCGAAATCCACGGGGGATTACATCAAGAGGCGTAAACTGAAGGTTTTGCCATGGCCTTCACAATCTCCTGACCTCAACATAATTGAAAATCTATGGATAGACCTTAAAAGAGCCGTGCGTGACAGACAGCCCAGAAATCTCAAAGAACTGGAAGACTTTTGTAAGGAAGAATGGGCAAAGATACCTCAAACAAGAATTGAAAGACTCTTGGCTGGCTACAAAAAGCGTTTACAAGCTGTGATACTTGCCAAAGGGGGCAGTACAAGATATTAACTCTGCAGGGTGCCCAAACTTTTGCAGACGCCATTTTTTTGTTTTCTGTTATTTTGAAAGTGTAAATGATGGAAATAAAATCTAACTTTTGTTGACATATTATAAGAATGTCTAATCTCTAATTTGATGGTTTTTGGAGATTTTTCCATCTTTCCTTGGCTTCTTTATGCACATTAATACAAATTTTTAGCTGGGGTGCCCAAACTTTCGATCCCCACTGTATATGTAAAGCACTGCGTGAATTCATGGCGCTATTTAAGTACCTGAAATA